ATTATATATTATTTTCTTGGCAAAATGATTGCTTTACAACTAACTAGTGCAATTTGCATTCTCAGGTTGTTGATAAGAATGAAAAGTTTGGTGTCCCCAGCTGCATGGGTGGCATTGCTGATGAAGAAGGTGGATCAAATCTTACTTTTGAATATCCATTTGATGATTTCACAGTAATTGATATGCGCTGGACGTGTGATCTGGTTCTAAAAGCTATTGAGGTTTTATATCAGATGAAAAGATGGAAAGCACTGGTTCATATAGCAATCCAGTTCAATATACTGACTCAGTAAGTTTCTCTGCATTTGAAAAACAAATAAAACTAAGAGATCTATTACAGTTTTATACAATTTGGAAATAGTTGTTTTCTAAATTCACATAAATATTAAAGCATGAAAGTTTAAAAATGCTTTGGTTTCTTGACATGGACCACCATCCTGAATTACAGCATGGTGTTGAAAAAGAAATTACAGAAAGAGGCTAAATACGTTTTTGAGAGTATATATTATATACTGTAAAACCTGTCCTACCTTTTGAAAATGTTGCAGTTCTGTTCAGCAAATGACATATTATTATCCAGGCACCACAGGTTTATTTAGGGTACCCCGTTGAAACTAGGAGATTAGTGATGGAACAAGAATGAAGTGGTAATGTAATCCCAGTGAATTAAACTGCTGTTCCTTTCCCATTGTCCTATTAGGAAATTAATATAAAGGCAAACTGAGGTACAAAAATTGTCTACGTAGTCGTTTGTACTTTTCTTTATTTATTAAAGTTAGAACTAAATATATAGTTGAATAAAATTATTCACATAAATAATAAATCTTGCGTATATATATTAGGGGATAGTATTCCATGCTTCCAGCAAGTGGAGATTTTTTTTTTCACGTCATTATCGTGATTACTTTTCAGCTGTGCTGAAAGAACCCCCTTGCTTAAACACCAATGATTTAGAGAAATTTTGGTGGCACAGTCTGAGGTTTTTACAGACAAGAATCAATTCACAAAGCTGAATGAACATAAGGATCTTTGTTTTCAGCCAGGGGATTGTAATTTTCAAATCTCATTGGGCTGAAAATTACTTTCTCTTTTTAAAAGTAAGTATCCTTATCCTTATGTGTTAGCTTTGTAAATTGAGCCTAAGCCCTGGTTCACACTGGATGCGACTTGGCATGCGATTTGCATGCCCTGTGACTTGCAAATCGCATGCCAAGTCGCACCTTATTGTGCGCAATTGGAGCAGTCATATTGGTGCAGTTCCGACTTGGTCAGAGCCGCACCAATTTCAAAAGTAGTACATGCACTACTTTTGGTGCGATCTGCATAGACATCTGTATCAGATGTCTTGAAAATCACACCTGAAATCGGCGAGTCCCCAGAGTTAGAAATCGTGCGACTTCACTGTAAGTTGCACGATTTCAAAGTCAGGCTTGATGTGAATGGAGGGTAAAGGGGGCTGTGAAGTAAACTACTGTGCCTTCTGTTTTTTAACCCCTTGTTCTCTAGAAATTATCTGTCCTATATGAAATGTTGGTTTGTAAAACAAATATTGTATATGAATATTGAAAAACACATACAAAACAAGAGCTTACAAATGTATAAACCTAAAGAAAATAAAATTTGACCTAAAACTAGGGATGCACTGTTACCCTTTTTTGATCAGCGAGTATGAGTGCTAATGCTTTTGGTCAAGTACTCGCCGGTACCAAGTACCAACACTTTGAGGTGCGATTTGTGTCAGAGTGCTGACCATTAAAAAGCCATCTAGCCCGGACTGTTATCCCTGCATGAAGAGGAGAGAAAACGGGGAGATTTCGAATCCCCAAACCTGTGAAGTGGCTTTTCCTTGTGTGACAGCATGGGATCGGTGCAGGGATGTTTCCCACACTGCTGCTGTGTGAACAAGCCTGGGTTCACACAGGAGCAGTTGGGAAACCGCATGCGATTTCAACAGTAATGTCACTGCATTCCTGTTCAAATCACATGCTATTGTTTGTGGTACAATTTGCATTCATACATTTTGTACTGACGGAAATTGCACCACAAAGTATTCGTTTTGTGGTATCGAGAGCATTTTCACGAGTATGAGTGTGACGGTGCGCGGCGTCAGACCCCAGCCCTTCTTACCAACTCGTGACCGAAGGACCAGCCGATCTCACACTGCGCTGTCACTTGTGTAACAATGCCACTCTCAGCTACGCCCTGCACAAAGATTTTCCAGCTCGTGGCACCACAATCTATGTGCCAGCAGTCTGAGAGCGATTGTTACCGGGCCAGGTTAATAACGCAATTAACCTTTCACACTGCCACCACCACCTTTTTGCAGAGAAGGAGGAAACTCACAAATCTTAGCAGTAACACTATGATATTAATATAGGCGTCTGTCACCACAGACAGATGTATTCAGAGGATTATTACATACAGTAGCACTCTTCAGAGACAGGGATTCTTTAGTTTGCATTAAAAGCTTTAGAGACAGTTCAACACTTTTCAGAAAATAGGATTTATTACTAAAAAGGTCAAAATGGTGCAATTAAAATATTTACAGAAAAACATGTAACAAAGACATAAAGAAAGCAATAAAACAACAGAGAAATAAAAGAAAGAAGTTAAGAAGGCAGAATACTTGCAAAAGTCCTTGGTTTGAGCAGAGTCCAATCGTCCGAACAAAAAGAGCTATTTTTTCTCTCCAGGTTATCAGTCTGTTTCTATTATCTCAAAGGGGTGTCTCCTGAGAACAAATGGCCAATCACCCCATATGGGGAGGGGTTTTAGGCGATACCCAAGGTTATGACCAAATCCCTTCCAAGTTCATACTATGGTCAATAACCTTCAATAGGTACAGGTAGCATCCTAGCAACTGGCAGATTAATATTTAGAATTATATTCCGCTCGCACAGATACCAAACTTTAGCATATCTTTGCCCCTCCGGATAAAAGAAATTGCTTTCTACCCTCTTGTAGGCGCTACATAGGGATATAAGGTGTTATGTGACTCATATTAAAATGACCTAGCCGAATATATACTTCATATTAATGTGCCCAGTTCCTGCTGAAGTTTATGATTTTGTATGAAAAATGACGCATGTGGAATGTACGTTTTATGGCATGCTTTAGCCCTAATGGCCTAACAGGTCATGACTGACTGAGTTATTGTTTTATGATCGGGCAGAGGAAAGTGGTTTTTCAAGCAGACCTCCTGGAACCAGACTAATTAGTGGTTTACAGCCATGGAGCTCATCCAGCTGTGCTTATTTAGGATGATATGCACTTTTAAACTCCGTTCACTTACAGACTCACATTCCATTCAAAAGGGAGGACAGGAGAGACAACATGGGAGCAACCTAACACGATGGCTGTCAGTGTCCATGTCTCTATGCGCACAATTGTCACAATGAGTACTTGTGAAAATACTCGGTATCGACACCAATACAGGCATCGCTGTATCCCTACCTAAAACCATTCTAGTTTCCCTGTAAAATAAATTTTATGATTTTATTGAAAACATGCTATGTGTAAAAGTGTTTTATATGTATATATATACATTTATGTATGTGTTATCCCCCTGAAATTCGGCTTTAAAGCTTACAAAATGTTTTTTTTTATCATGCTGAGCTTAAATGTATGTTCTGAATGTATTTTCCCAACAACAGCTTCATTGCAGACTCTAAAAGTAAAATAGATTACCGCTTTGTTTTTTTTAATATATGCCGCTTGTTTCAGGTCTGGTGGTTTAAGGTTCCGTTCCAGTAACAAAATCTAAACAGTTTCACAATTTTGCACACTTCTTGACACATTGCATGATACCATGGTTTAATTAAGGGGGCTGAGTTACAAGTGTTACTGTAAATGCTGAAGTATTTTCCCAATGCTCATTTGAATGGAGGATGTCACTAGTAAAGTAACATGTCTGAAACATTATAGAGCAAGCTCAGTTAGATGTTAAAAACTACTATTAACCATTGTTTCATGGTCCATCTGCTTTTAATAGATAACTGCCAAATTATTTTCATATTGGGACATCAAAGTGAGTGACACTAAACAGTATGTGGCCAAATTATTGTAGTCTTACAACTGCATTACAAATACACACCTTTTTTCTAGAAATCACACATTCAGATCTCTTTCAGGAAAGAGCCAAGGCAAATGGTTACCCTACATTTTTTTCCTGCCTTTTCTAAAAGATTGCCTCCAAGACAGCAGATATATGAAGACTCTTGCATGACAATCTGAACACGTACCAAATCTAGTTACTATGTTATGATCAAGCATCATAAAGTAAACAAAAACTTCCTCCACCTCCCCTGGCTGAGCCACATTCTCCATTATTTGTCTCACATGCCCCTCCTTCCAGACCCTGCAGCTCACAGTGGGAGGGTTTCACCAACATAGGCAGGGCTGTCAATCCAGAAAACAGTGGGCAGGACTAGGCATGGCTAGGTGCTGGTTGATAAGCTACATACTTTTGAATCAGCATTGAAAATGCTGATAAAAATGCCCCTGCGACATTTTTAATCCCACTTTAGTCCAAACAGGGACAGCCTTCATGAGAGTGGAACATCTGCTCTGAATTCAGGATCAGTGTAGCATCGCCCAGTAAGGGCAAATGTAAAAACTCTTGTTCCTACCTCTTTTTGAAAGAAGTGGCAGTTCATAAATATACCAACAATGGTTGCAGCAACTTCAACTGTAGGCAGGGTGTGTCTTCCCATCTGCTCATGGCTTCATTAGCTTTCAGATTATCTTAAAATGTAAGGTGACATGCTTGGAATTTATTGAAACTAATTATTATTATGTATTATTGTAGCATTAGTAGTGCTAGTTGATGGGTTATATGAAAATGTACCATGATAAATTAAATTGGCTGGTCTATAAATTCATAAATGTTGTTCAGAAACTTGTAAATATACAGTATATGTACAATTTTAACATACCTTTCTCTATACGATAGTGAAAGATTTACAGAGCAAGTAACGCCCCTGTTGGTTCATGCACAGAGGATGTTGGCTGCCATCCACACTCCACCGGGCAACGCTGATGACAAGGTTAGTCTCTGAAGTTAATGTTTATGTTACCATATATTTAAGTTTCCCAGTAAAATATTTTTCATAAAAAAAAAAAAAAAAAAAGGTTTGCATTCACTGGGTTTCAAGTGCATGTTCATCCAAGGAAAGTTTCTGTAGTCTTTTTTAAAGCAATCTGCCCCTGGAAAGGAAGGATGTCCTTCGTGATCATGCGCCAGTCTTGCTTATGTTTATTTATAACTATCTCTGTTCTGTTTGGTCGAAAGATACCCAAATGCACCTTAACAAATTGGCTGATGTTCCATTCTATTTCTAGCTACAGCTTGGAGTCAATACAGACGTGTGTGAATGGGCAATTCACCAACTCGTGTTTACAGTAAAATCACAAATCAGAATTGATCAGTAATGTTTTTGTTCCCTGTAGAACAAATACCCTTTGCATTTGTAAAGATAGGCTCATTTTTTTTATTTGCTGTTCAACATTTTGTTTATTCCACCTTTTTACATTTTTAATACTTGCATGTATATTGCATTTTGTTCCTACTGTTGTATGCTGTATGTATAATCCTTTCAAAATGTAATATTCTTGGATTGTTTTTTTTTCATTGGGATCATGCTGATTATACTCTTTAACTACATGCAAATATAACTGTAGATTTTTAGCTGTTTGAGTTTTTGATAGTTATAATGATACCAATAACCTTTATTTTTTGCTCAAAGTAAAAAGAAAATAGTGTATAACACAATAATTTTGAAAGGTCTTCTGGTGAAAGATAAAAAGCTGTTATGATATTTTTGATAAAGGACAAGATAAACATCACCTTGCCTCCCCCACACTGGATTAGCTGTAAAGTCACATTGCTATTATGCTATTTCAAGAACATGCACACTATAAATTGAATAAAAAGATTTGTTAACATAAGCTTTCAGCTGTATTCTTTTCTGTGTTGATTTTTTTAGATGCATTGCAGGAATTATATAGGAAAACAGCTTCATGTTGGCACAGTGTGTAATAAAGTGAGGAATCCTGCAGCCGATATTGATCGGAAGGGACACATTGTTCATTCAGGTCAGAGCTATATTACATCTGTTAACTTGACGTACATTTGTATCCTAAGCAAATAAACAATCACTGTGTTCTTTATCTTCATCATCCCTAATGCATGCAGAAACACACTATTCTGCTTTTCATCTCTCACGGACTTTGGTAGTTAATGTATTTTTGTAAACTTTTTGTAGAAAGGAAAACTACTGCTTGTACAAATTTTGGAACTCCTCTGTGTGCCTCTCTCTGTGTCTTTGTGTATACACATACTTATACACAGCCATGACCAAACATTGGTACCCCACCACATTTTCTCAAGTGAAACTAACACAAGAAAATGACATCAACTATTATAATTATGTAGCGCTACTCCCACAGGGGCCACTTGATAATGCTTGTTCCCAGTGGTTTCCCTGACTTTGCAAGTCTCCCGACACCTCTGGCACTCTGGGTTCAGACATATTGCAACAGTATGAAATAATAATGCAACAGACACTATTCTTTAGTAACACTTCTATATTAGGCTCATTCAAAAGAGTAGACCACAGAATGCTGGTTTAGGAGGTACATCCCACTTAACTCATAAAAGCAAAACACTGATAAAATGGAAATACCCAAATAGCAACGGTTAACAGATTATACGGTCACAGATGGTACATTGTAACTATGTAACTGCAACACCAGAAGCAGGAGGGGCAAGAAAGGGCTCGTTGACTACTTATTATCTCCCTCTGGACCATTGGCATTACAATAGGGAATGCAAAGAATTATGTAATATTATTAATTATATATATATATATATATTTTTTTTTTTTTTTTTTTTCTGGCATAAATGGGTATAGACACCCTAATTTGAATAGCAATGGCTTAACTACAAATAGCAACTTGAGTCCTGAGTTGTTTAAAGTTCCTGATATGATAGTAGCCGTTGTCTACTGCTAGCAATATACAGTAGTGAGTACTGGTAATTCAACGAAAATAACAGATAGGCTGTGGTAAATGCTCAAAGCAAGTATCTCTTGGTAGTAATGTTTAAAGGTGTCTGAATTCAGTGTCTGTATAGTGTTGTCAGAAAGAGGTTGGGCATCTGCTGCTTACCAATCCCATGGATAGCACAGCCTCCTAGAAACCGGGTTCTTGCACAGGCTCTTGGTTGTTTTGGTTGTTCGCAAAGAAGTGCAGTTACCACCTGACAGCCTGTCAGTGTGACAAGCAGAGATGACTGGCTTAAGACTGGATAGTGACTGTTCTGATGCCAAAAAAGTGATGTGATCCTGCTGTGGCAATCGGTTTCACTGCTATGTCGAACTGGTATGCAAAGACCCACAGTAGTAGCCTGCAGTCTGTCTCTGTAGGGGAACAGCAGTCACTCTGTGTTTAGCTCTGAATCCTTCTCCAAAAGAGCGAGCCAGTCCATTGCTGTAGAATATATCTGCTCTCCCAGCAACCTTTTGGTTCCCTAGCTCGCTGGTAGTTATAATTCAACCAGGACTCAGAATTACAGTATGTATTGGGTATAGGACTACAGGTTCCAGGATCCTTTGCTGACAGAATAACTGGATCCACTCTGCTAACAGGAAGTGATGTAGCAATCCCAGTACTGGGAACTACAAGGAAAAAGGATTAACCATAGTCTCATCTGTATATATCCCTGAATGGCCTAATGATATAGCCAGCAACTGGCTACAAATATTATTATACAGAATATGTATGGCACCAACAGTTTGTACAGTGCTTTACAACACAAGGGCAATCCAATCCAATACAGGAGGAATCAGAGAGCCCTGCTCGTTAGAGCTTACAATCATTCTTTATTTCATAACCCACAGACCAGACTTTATTCTTCTAAATATTAAGGCACTACATAAATAAAAACAATCAAATGAAGATTTTTTAAATTTACATTTATGTTTTAATGTCAATGAAACTTGTCTGGGCACTGTGGGATGTTAATCTGGCTTGGTCTACAGTCTTATGTTTCAGACGCTAGGAATGTTTTAGAAAGCAGAGATGAGTCTGCCTAGACAAAAAAGTCCAGTCTTAGAGAAATGGAGTCTAAAGCTGGCCATATACTGATCACACTTTTGTCTGGTTCACTGTATTCTGAGTACCAGTGCGTGCTGTTGTCAGAATACAATGTCCCAATGGGTGGGTGGGGATTCTTCCATCCACCTTGTTTGTGTGGTTGGAGGAATCTATCTATACCTTATGGTTCACTCATTGTTACTTGCTATGAAAAACTGAGGCTTGCTGAGATTGGGAGGGGTTATATTACTGCTGTTTTTACAGCTTTGTTTGCCATTGTCTAATCACCTGAAGACAGCTGTGTGATTGATGGTCTAAAATTCTACGTCCTGCAATATACTTCAATATACTTCAAGAAAAGGATTTTACAAGCAAGTCAAAAATCCTATTTTACATAGGAATAAACATAAAACAAAAGGTTAATATTTCAGAATGGCATAAGACCTCTTTGTATAGGACCTATACAGCTTTAAAAGTCCAAGAGAAGGTTGCTGTTGTGGCAAACAGAAGTAAATTAGATCATGGAGGTAATACAATGTGGGGTCTGAAGATAGAAATCTCAGATAGTGAAAGTCCAGTCTTTGAAGTAGGGGTATTCCTAATGAATAGGTATCCTAATTTAAAATAATCTGGTCATTTAACATCAGTCACTGCACAAATTTTGTTTTTAACTACACCTCTGATTTTCCACTGTTCCACTGTGTTGAGTGAAAAATGGGAAGTAACTCTTCTTCTTCAACTAGTATATAATTTGAATACAATAAAGGCAAAAGAAGCGAGTGCACGGACTCACACAAAGCAGCTAGCATAAAAGGATGAACCCCTATATCCTCAAAAACATGAAAAAACGTAAAATACAGCGCTGTAAGGTGTTAAAAAACCAAGGTGCTAGTAAATAAAGTGACAATTGTGACAGACTCAAAGTGAGGCGCTCTAAAAATAGCACTAAAGTGCATGTGCACCTCTCTGCTCGCCATGACTACGTTGCAGCCTCATCTCACCTGGGTCCAGCAAAGCAGAAGTGTCACCCGGCAGCCCTTGTCTCCGGAGCTGTCATTACCCTCAGTGACAACCTCCTTCCGGCCGGATCCTCCTCCGTCACCTGCCTCCCGGATCGGTGGACCCATGGCTGAAGATTGCTCCTTCGGTCCAGCGGGTCCATCACTGTGGATTGTGTTATTCCTGCTGGCTCTGTCCATGGTGGAAAGGTTGCATGAGTCATCCCTGTAATGCAGTGAGAGGCCAGTGGTGGTGCTGGAGTCATCCCTGTAATGCAGTGAGAGGCCAGTGGTGGTGCTGGAGTCATCCCTGTAATGCAGTGAGAGGCCAGTGGTGGTGCTGGAGTCATCCCTGTAATGCAGTGAGAGGCCAGTGGTGGTGCTGGAGTCATCCCTGTAATGCAGTGAGAGGCCAGTGGTGTTCTTTTTGTCTCCATACCATGATCTTTCTGGTGGAAGTTTTCCCTACCTGTGGAGGAGCTGGATATATTGCTATGTGCATTTAATATGCGCTTCTGGTGAGTGCATTCAAAAGCATTATCTAGCACTGAGTCACTTTTCACCTGTTCAGTTTATTTGATATTCATCTGGATCAGTGGTTCTCAACCTTTCTAATGCCGCGACCCCTTAATACAGTTCCTCATGTTGTGGTGACCCCCAACCATAAAATTATTTTCGTTGCTACTTCATAACTGTAATTTTGCAGTGGGAGGACTAGCGCCCCATCACTGATGTCAGTGGGATGAATAGTGTCCCATCGTTGGTATCAGTGGGATGAATAGTGCCCCATCGTTGGTGTCAGTGGGAGGAATAGTGTCCCATCGTTGGTGTCAGTGGGAGGAATAGTGCCCCATCATTGGCATCAGTGGGAGGAATAGTGTCCCATCATTGGTATCAGTGGGAGGAATAGTGCCCCATCATTGGTATCAGTGGGAGGAATAGTGCCCCATCATTGGTATCAGTGGGAGGAATAGTGCCCCATCATTGGTATCAGTGGGAGGAATAGTGCCCCATCATTGGTTTCAGTGGGAGGAATAGTGCCCCATCATTGGTGTCAGTGGAAGGAATAGTGCCCCATCATTGGTGTCAGTGGGAGGAATAGTGCCCCATCATTGGTGTCAGTGGAAGGAAAAGTGCTCCATCATTAGTGTCAGTGGGAGGAATAGTGCCCCATCATTGGTGTCAGTGGGGGGAATAGTGCCCCATCATTGGCGTCAGTAGGAGGAATAGTGCCCCATCATTGGTGTCAGTGGGAGGAATAGTGCCCCATCATTGGTGTCAGTGGGAGGAATAGTGCCCCATCATTGGTGTCAGTGGGGGGAATAGTGCCCCATCATTGGCATCAGTGGGAGGAATAGTGCCCCATCATTGGCGTCAGTGGGAGGAATAGTGCCCCATCATTGGCGTCAGTGGGAGGAATAGTGCCCCATCATTGGCGTCAGTGGGAGGAATAGTGTACAATCATTGGCGTCAGTGGGAGGAATAGTGCCCAATCATTGGCGTCAGTGAGAGGAATAGTGCCCAATCATTGGCGTCAGTGGGAGGAATAGTGCCCAATCATTGGTGTCAGTGGGAGGAATAGTGCCCCATCGTGGGTGTCAGTGGGAGGAATAGTGCCCCATTGTGGGTGTCAGTGGGAGGAATAGTGCCCCATTGTGGGTGTCAGTGGGAGGAATAGTGCCCCATTGTGGGTGTCATTGGGAGGAATAGTGCCTCATCATTGGTGTCAGTGGGAGGAATAGTGCCCCATCATTGGTGTCAGTGGGAGGAATAGTGCCCCATCATTGGTATCAGTGGGAGGAATAGTGCCCCATAATTGGTGTCAGTGGGAGGAATAGTGCCCCATCATTGGTGTCAGTGGGAGGAATAGTGCCCCATTGTGGGTGTCAGTGGGAGGAATAGTGCCCCATTGTGGGTGTCAGTGGGAGGAATAGTGCCCCATTGTGGGTGTCAGTGGGAGGAATAGTGCCCCATTGTGGGTGTCAGTGGGAGGAATAGTGC